ATAACCACCAAATGCAGGTGGTGATGAGAAAGTCACACGATGAACCAAAGCCTATCACAAGCAGCTTTTAAATAATAACCTATATAGAAGGTGCACAGTGTCATTCACACAAACACTAAACACCATCATGGTAACACACATGAAACTGAAATAATGCAATTAACATTCATTTAACAACATTAGGTGTAACGCACAACCCTAATATACAAAACTGATAAGAAAAAACTAAAAAGAAACAGTTATTTCAACAAAAAAACATCAAATTTGAAATGTAATGCAGGGAATTCTGGGAATGTCAATTTACGGTTATTCACTGTAAATTATACGGTCTTTTTCACTTCCAAATACGGTATATTACCGTAAAATTAATGTCCAATACATGTAATGTCCAATACAGTTTTTCACCGTATATAGTAGGGGAATTTACCATTAACCATTTAACAGGATTTTACTGTAGCATTTTTACAGTCTTTTACCGTTAAATTCACGGTCATTTTTTACAGTGTAACAATGAAGATTATCACACACACAAAAACAAATTCAAACAGCTGACAGCACTGTCAGACACTGTGACACGTCGGAAACATAATACACTTCTTCTTTAATGGTAAACGTGTATAACCAGCCAGTGCTAAACGCTTCCAGCTAATTTCTAATTTGTTTGTAATTGCACCGAGACAAGTAAACCATTGCACAGTGAGAAGTTATTTCCTGGAGCTGGACGGCTAAATTACAGGCAAATGTTTCATGTGATTAGGACACTCTAATTGAACATGTGACAAAGAATAGAGCTGCCTGTCTAACGCAGAAGTGCATCAAGTGCATAAAGCATGGAGGAAACAGGTATTTACACTGGTTACGTCCTAATTATTGCATTCTTTATGCTTTAATCACAGTGAATTCCTTTTTGATTATTGCATCCCGCCAAATTGCAATATATTTGTTTTTCTTTCCATCATAAGAGAGTGAAAATTAGTCATGGCCTCATTGTAACTGATCTCCTTTGGATGCCTCGATCAATGCACTGGTCACATGTCTCTCCTCAGCTGAGCTCTACATAAGAGTCAGAGCTGTGTGTGTGAAGTGCTACCCCTGCACTGTGGCGTCTGTTTGTGTTTTATTAGTATTGCACTTGTGCATGTTTGCTGTAGGTTTAGCCCTGACGGCACCTGCCAGACCTGCAAACACACTCCAAATTATAGCACTCGTTCCTTTATCTCGCTCACACTCTCGCTGCTCTGTTCTAAAAAAAACTTACAGTCATTTCTAAAATCGTTAGTGGCCTACAGCTGAAATCATTAGCTGGTCACCTGTACGTTTTTAATAGGGTCATTACCGAGGTGGCCCTGCAGCCGGCCGCTAATCGCTAGCATGTTACGGGGCAGCTGTTTCTAAAACACTTGTTTCTCTGTGTTACATTCCGGCATGTAGGCATCAACTGAGAAAGAACAGAGCGAGACCTATAAATCAGGTGTGTTTTGTGATTTGGTGAGTGTTTTAGTGTATTTAAGAAAGATTTTAGAAATGTTTTAAACATGCACTTTTTTTGAGTGACTGAGTCCAATTCTTGTATTGTCCAATGTCATTGTTGCATATTTGGTTGGATTTGCAACATGTAAAAATAAAATGTATCACGCGATTACACGCAAGGGATTTTGGGATAGTGTGAAGAGAAATTTCCTTTTTTTTCCCTCATAATACTTTTTTTTTTTTTTTTACCTAGAGCCTGGGGGTCTGGACTTCATTAGTCTGACCCCCTTTCTCCTAGACCCAACCCCCCCCCCCCATTTGGACAAAACAGAGGCGGCATAATTCACTTTGCCAGGTTTTACAGTGTAGGGGTACGGAATCGGTGAAAGGGTCAATCGAAATCTGTTCCCCAGCTGTGCGGCCCTCTCACTCACCCCTAGGCCCAGAGTGAACGACAGAAAGAGAGAGAGAGAGAAATGCTCGGGGGGAGATGGACCCCACAAACGTACCCCCGAGCTGCCTGAGCATCACAAACCTGTTCAGCCAACTCCAACAACATCAGTCCAGTTTGTGTAGGAATGCAAACAAGTTTAAACTGAATAAAAATGTGCAGTGTTTCTGAACTATGATTAGATATTAAAATAATGTGGGAAATAAGGATGGGATCATGCACAAATCCTCATTTCTGCAGAGCTAAAATTCAATACATGTGTCCAAATAATGATTTTCCTTCTCTACTCTGACAGGACTAATCCAAAAAAAAGGTTGCACTTTCCACCAAGCTCACCTCTAGACACCCACCTATCACCACCACAGCCAACACATGGTATTATTTACAGGATCACGTGAACGTTTCAAATCAAATTAAGCTCTCACTTTTGCTTCTTTCAGATTCACTCACTTTACTGTCTTTTAAGAGAACACCCTTTACTGCATCCCTACCCATAAAACCCATATCCCGCCATCAGTGTATATTTGAGATTAAAATAGAACTAAAATGTGTTGAAAATGCACTAGGATGAATTAAAACGAGTGTGAAAGAGAGAGCAAGAAACTGAGGAAGAGGAGATATTTAAAGTAGCAGAAGATGTGCATGTATTTTGCCTGACAGTTAACTAAATTAATTGTATATAACATACAGAAACGTAAAATACTAACAAATGAAGGATTATAAGAACTATTTGTTAGGCAAAATTTAAAATTATAAAGATTTTAATCATTTAAGTCACCTTTTAGTCTTAGTTTAAGATGGCATGGTGCTTCGTGACACGTTCGCTTTGTTTGCTTTTCTAAGGAGCGCGGGAGAATTTTGTGTTGTGTATGAGGCTGATAATTGGCTAGAGCAAAATATTTATTATGAGGGAACCTGTTTTACAAATGACTTTTTATGCTGCTATATGACGAAAAAAACACTCCATTTATAGCTATCTGCATGAGAAATGACTATGAAACGGGCGTGATATTTTGACCGATTTTTTAAAATAATTAAATAAATCCACTTTTTTTTCTTGTCATATTGCTTATGCTATGCACTATGCAGTGCAACTTATATGCAACACGACTTTTTTCTCCACACAATAAATAATTCAGGATGTGAGTTTTTATCTCATGTAGGGTAATTAAATGCCCAAAGACTTTGTATTTTTGTCTCTAATTAATAGTAAAACAGTAAAACATCAGTAGTTTGGTTTGCAAATACTGGTGATCTACAAGGTGCTCGCGACTTTTCAATGTCAGCCATATGACAGGCTGCGGATGGGCAGGTGATTTCGGCCACTTGCACATGGCAGCTGACCTCCGCTGTAAGTTTGAAACATCTCCTTTATCCAGCCTACACAATATGCAATATTAATATACCGCGGGGGTTTATCTCCGCAACGTATTTAAGGGAATCACGAAAACATGTAAACGCAGCAGATCTCTCACTGTACATGTTTTAATGAAGTCTAAAATAATTTGTACATTTAAAAACGCCTCGCAAGCTTATGTCCTGAAGAGGTTTTGATTTCAGGATGCATCCTTTTTCACACTAGCAGAAAATAACCCGTCTCATTAAGTGCGTTTTGCTCACTTTAGTATATACATATAAACATAAAATCGTAATTAATTATTATTTTATTTCAGACCACATGGTTGGCCATGCTTGATGCAGCAAATTAATGTATATAACAAATAAATACATAAAGTTTTAATTGAGCATAAAAATCCGAAAATATCATCAAATACACTAAATTAGCAATTCCAATATTCCTCAAGTTCTCGCCCGTTCTCTCTGTGCGTTTATAAAGTGACAAAAAAATCGGAAATTTTAGCCCTCAGACAACACACGTGTGTTTTCTATAAAAAAATTTAAATAAAATAAAAAAGTCTCTTACTTATTATTCCATTAATAAGCAATTCATTTTAAAGAATTAGTGTGATGTTCCCTGTTCTTCCCTCTCCCATTTTCTTCGCTTCTATATTTTTATAACAATTATAACATGATATCACGGCCTAGCCTATGTAATAATAATTTTGAGCTGTTTTGGGGAAATTAAATGCTCAAACTAATTTTTGTCCCTCTGCGTAAAACTTTAGCAAGTCAACTTGAGTGTAGCCTAACCGATACACGTATTTCCCAAAATCCCAGGTCTCTCTTTGAAGGGTGAGACAGAACAACATACATCTCCTCAGTGTTTCAATATCATTCTAAGAACCCAGGGGAGAGTAAATGCGGAGGAACTCCAGGTCCAAAAACTTTGTTTCAAGCGCTAATTGTTTATTTTGTATGCATTACACTAGTGAAATAGAAAGACATGCTGTGGTACCTCGGTTTGACTTTTCTTGGTTTTATTTTAGTTATTTTTTTTTTTTTTTTTTTTTAAACAGGCCTAATAGTTTTGTCTAGCGCAATAACCTCACAACCTCCACTTATTGCACTTTGAGCATTCTTTAAAATCATATAAATGATATAAATCAGAATAAATTATTTAGGATGATTTTGAATCACCTATAGGAAATTTCAAAAGCGCTCGATGTATTGCATATTGTATTTACAAACATAAAACTATAAACTCGTGCTCGTCATTGATTCTCACTAGACCTCTCTGTCCCTGCGATGCACGTGAGAGATCATTAGATGAGTGCGATTTTTAAATATCAATATTTTCAGGGTAAATAAAATGACACGAGCGGGAAATTCCTACACAAGACAATCTGGAAGATCTCCAGCTCTCTTTCAACCACAGAGAAATCAGAGTAACTAAAGTACGCCTTTCTGGAGCGGCGCGAGCAGCTATTTCTACAGCGCGTAACGATGCGCGATCAGTTTCAACACGTCTACAACTAAATAACACCTGACAAACTGACTTAAAACGACCTTGTTATGTGCGACGTCCCTGTACGAGCACTTCTAGATACAAAACAATTGATTTCGAAACACTTCTAACTGTGCCCAAGCGCTTCCTCTAACACGCATCGGACGCTCCGTTTCACACACCCAACTACTTGGAATATGAACAACTTGGAGCTTGTTGGTGATGTTTATTTACCTTTGCGCAGCTGTGTTGGCATCCAGTATCCCCGCGCTCTGCATCCAAGAGCGCACCGGCGTCATGCCACTCGTAAGGGGCTCTTCTTTCATGGTCAAGGCTCCCCGTGGGAGACCGTCCTGGATGGAGAACATGAAAATAGCCTTCTGGGGGATGTCTCTCTACACCAGCTCGAGTGGAATAATCCTCCTGCACCACCTGGATTAACAAAAACCAACTGAAAGGGAAAAAATCTTCCCCAAAGTGCAACAAGGGGAAAGAGGTCCTTATCCAAAGACGCGCTGCCGTATCCCTTTGGGTGTTCCTCTTTCTTTTAGATTCCAAACCCAAGTTCAGTTCACTCAAGATTAAGCGGTCTCTAGTTAAAAGAGGGTGGAGAGAAGGCGAGAGCTGTGGAGCATCTCAAAGGAAACGATCAGCCGGGATCAAGCAGACCTTCTCGTCGCGGGGAGAAAGAGGGGAGAACGCGAACTTGCTCTGAAGAAGAAGGCGAACAGACGCGCACGGGATTGTGAAATGAAAAGTGGGATAAAACGGGCGACTGCTTCAAAAAGGAGTAAAATGAAATGATTACCAAACAAGAGGGAGGGATGGACCAGGGAAGGCTTGCTGTCCCTGGGGAAAAGATGGATTGGGTAGCAAGAAATCTCATTCCCTCCCTCCCCGTCTCTTTATGCCTCCTCTGTCCCAGCGGAGCGCACCTTCTCTCGGGTTCCGCGGCTCCAGCGCTCTCGGAGGGGACAAGCGTGGACTTGACGAGGGCGGAGACTTGCCCTTAAAAGGCAAAGTCATTTACATGTCAATCTTCGTTCTGAGCTCTGATTGGTCGCGGTCATCCCTTGCGTCATTTTCAAAATTCGCCGCAAAAACTCAGCTGATGTTAGTGGGACTGAGCGCTCTGGCAAGTGGAAGTGGTCTCATGCCTTCCAGATTTAACATGAAACATGCCCTTAATACCCAGGAACATTCACGATGCATTTCATACACATAGCATGATAGCATGAGTATAATCGACTATAGAATAGCCTACCGTTTTCCAGAAGTCAAATTTGTCTAAAAGTTCAGCCGGGTATGATCTGAGATTATAAACAATGACTGAATGCGAACCCGAAGCATTTACAGCAAGTATACTTTACGTTCCCTGGTACTCAATGGAGTTTCCACAGATGACAAAGCGCAGTAATATTCCATAACACTGTCGAACATCTCTTAATTTTGTATAACCGTAAGGAATGAACTTGTCCTCATGACTAGGGAATGTGTTGCCGATTTAACATACTCAATAGATTTCTTCATTAGAAGAAATATTCAAATTTGATAAAGCACGGGGTTATTTGCAGCTGCATGAACTGAAAATAATAATAATATAATATAAATTATTATTGTTGTTGTTGTTATTATTAACAGTCTGCTTGCAATACAAATATAAAATAAATCAAATAAATTATATTAAGAACAATTATTCTATAATTTAGGTAAAATTAATTAAGTAGATAGAGTTTTTGCTCATACATAATATACCTCCCAAAGAAATGTGAATTGTGCAAACTCGCATTGTATTAAAGGATTTCTAGTGTTCTTTGGCATTATTTTGAATTCCACCAAATGACGCCTGATTAAATAATTATTACAGATAGCCCTCCAGAGCTCACAAGCGCGCAAACGACCCCATGAGATAAAAAAATAAAAAATAAAAATAAAACTCAATTTCATCTAAAAGAAAAAAAATTGACTAAAGCAAACAATCCCCCCTTATCGTAACAACAATGCAGTCATCTGTGTTTTTCTCTCAGAATCTTCATTTCACACATTATTATTATTATTATTATTATTATTATTATTATTATTATTATCAATTATGTGGTCCTGTGTTTGTAGTTATTTTTTTATTTGCTAAAGCATCCTCACAAATCATTCTTCTTGCTTAAACAGTCTGAAAACTCTTGATGACACGAAAATCTTGCGTATAGGCCTACACTTCACACTCAAAGACAAAATACTCGAAGCGGCACAAAAGCAGCCGGTGTTTATGAAAGACATGTCCAAAACAACACGATCCCTGTCTGCCCTGAACTGGCGCAAACGGATCATGACCTCAAGTCCACTAATAAAATATTCTATTCTGTATGTGAGAGGAGGCTGGCGGTCAACAATCGGAGTTATCACAAACTTGTTACGTTGTGAAACATGCCGAAACTAAAACATATAGACTATATTTACGTCCATATGCCTATTAAAATATTTTCTATTCTATATTTTAGAGGAGGCTGTAGGGTCAAGACCCAAAGCATAGCACCTACAACATCATGTTACTTCCAAACGAACACAATATGTTACACACAAAACAAGGACATCAATAAAGACTCACTTCAGTGTCTCATGATATCATGCGCTTTTCGCAACTCTCCCGTGATATAATATTTCTGCGACGTCTGATGTCTCGGAAGCCCTAGATGTTTAAAACAGAAAAAGATCTAATGCCGCATTCGTCAGTTACTTTCGGTTGTTTGGCTGTTCTCTATCAAATGTTCATGGCGACCCAAGAACATGCAACACTTTTACTCTTTTAGCCCTATAATATTTTGTATTCCGCGGAAAGCAACGCTGTCAAATTGTAAAGCATGATGTAAGTTATTTTAAGAGCACAGGTAAGACTGTGTTTTGCTATTGGAGTAATATTCACTGATCCAATATAACACTTCTACAAACTCTTGCATATACTTGCACAAATTATCACATATGCCTGGACATATTTAGGAAAAAACAAAATATATGACCGCAGTGATATTTTTAGGTCTAATGACGGAATATGTTACAACTGAAATTTATCTTTAAAAAAATTAATTAATAAAATAAAAAAACTGGGAAACACACACACACACACACTTTTTCCAAGTTAATTGAAGTTACAATATCAATCCGTACTTTCTGTCAGATTAAAGCGGTTGTTTCCACCTAGTGGCCATCAAAAATAAAATGAATTAAAATAAATTAATTAAAATAAAAATCAAGCAATGTTTCTTGCCAGGAAATTCATCATATCAAATAATCATGAAATTAGTTTGAGCATAACTTTCTTGACGGTGTTCTGCAAAAGCTCAAGAGAAAGTTTTTATCTCTCATTTTCTCATTTTTTATCTCACTCCCTTCAAAAGATGGTCTCCTGCAATCTTTCGGATCACAGATCCATTAAATGTGAAATGATTGATTGATATTAAATTAGGACCTCAAGAGGTCAAATATAAATTACTGGTATTTTCTCAGATCAGAGATTAGGGGCTTGCACGAGCACTTTATATGGGTCATAAATTATATAAATATACCACTACGTAAAGCACAACAGAAAATATGATCACAATACAAAATCAGCTATGTGGTCATTCATCAAAGCACAAGAGACTGTCTGTTATCCTAACTGTTTAGAAACAGACTGAGCGCTCATAGTCTCTACTAGACATCAGAAATTAAAGTCCTAATGATAATTTGATTCATCATGAGGTTTAAATTAATATTGTAAAGTGTAAGTCATGACATCTGAACAGTAAATAAAATAAGTATATAGAACAGCTGAACCGTATCAGGCTCATGCTATTGTTTGCAAGGTAAAGAGCTCCATCTAGTGTTCCAACAATGACCTGCAAGTCTGTGAATGACCTTAAAGAAGGGACAAGCACAACAACCTCACTGTTAAACTGACAACATATCCTAGGACCATTTCGATACTTGACTCGAGAACCTTTGATTGTCCTTTCAAATAGGGAACATCCGACCATCATTTTGCTACAAATTAAAAAAAAAAAAAACTCGTATTGTATAGGCCTACTCTTACTTTGCATTCCAATGGAGTGCACAAATCTTTAAATATTAATGTTAACTAACATAATTAATCTTAATTAACATATTTAGGGAAAAAAATATAAAAGTGCAACAACATTTTTGATGAAGCCTAATATTTTAATGTTAGAACTGAAAATAATCTTAAAAATTGAAAACACACACGCTCAATATATCTAATTTTTTTGTCCACAGTTGTGTTCCAGGTTAAATTAAGTTAATGTATCAACCCATACATCATTCTGTCAGATTCAAGCAGTCGTTTCCACCTAGTGGCCATCAAGATAAAAAAACAAAAACATCAAGCAATTTTTCTTGGCAGGAAATTCATAATTTCTGTGCTCTCTGTTGATATTATCATATTATTGTCATATTATTATGCAATATACTGTATTACTGTACTGTAACTGTTAGCTTACCAATATTTTACTTTTAAAATTTTACTTTCTTTGTATGTATGAAATATCTGAACTTATCATAGACATTTTAAAAAAATTATAAAATTCTATATTCTATTAAGCATTTTCTGTTTGTGCTTCAACTAACCAATCTCTTTAAAAATAAATCCTAAAGTCTGCTTGAAATATATCTTCTACTGTATATACCAATGTAACCAAATGATAAAAAACTGAGTGCATTCAAACCTGGAACCAACAACTGTGAAACATCTTTGGTTTTCCTGTGTCTCGTCACCGACAGAAGCCCTACGATGGAGAAATTTGCCTGTAACCAGTAAAATATGTTGCAGTCTTCAGCTGCTATGAGTGGTGATAAATCTAACCTGAAATACATGAAAGAAAAAGTTACACAGATGTACCATACTATGTATAATGTAAATACAGTATGTAAGCATCTTGCTAGCATCCAGTCTGCTTTGTGCAACAGATATTATGGGTATTTTTTTAAACAAACAAGTCAATGTAAAGTCTATATATTTATAAACCAAGTAAATTGCCCATAAATTACATATGTAAGTTAGTCCCGCAACATTTTAACTTAATGATATTTTGGCTGTGTGTGTTCATATACGGCAGGGGTATCCAATCCTGCTTCTGAAGGGCCACTGTCCTGCAGAATTTAGCTCCAACCCCAATTAAACACCGGCTAACCAAGGTCGTACTAGGCATACTAGAAACTTCCAGTCAGGTGTGTTGAGGCAAGTTGGAGCTAAACTCTGCAAGACAGTGGCCCTCCAGGACAGAGTTTGGACACCCCAGATTTACAGTACATATAAATGTTTGATGTAGATGGTAGTTTGCACCCTGGGTGAATAAACAGAAGCATCAATCTACCTGAGCAACAGTAGAAAGTAAAAACAAATGTTTTTTTTTACAGACAGGGTCACAAGGGAATCCAAACTGGTTTAGCTGCAAAGCCTTTCAAAACATTCAAAGCATTATACAAATGAAGACGGATGCAGTTTTTGTTTTATCCAGCTGTATTTACTCAGTGCAACTTATAACACCCAAGTGAAAAATATAACACCAACGTGCCAGAAAAATTAAAATAAATAAAAAACAGAATCACTGAGCTGGAAAAAGGACTGCCCCCTTGTGTCAGTATTTTGTTGAACCACCTTTTGCTTTAATTACAGCCTTTAGTCTGTTGGGATATTTCTCTACTAACTTTGCACATCTAGACTTTGCAATATTTTGCAATATAAAGTAGACTTTGCCCACTCTTCTTTGCAGAACTGCTCAAGTTCAATTAAATTTGATAGTGAGCATTTGTGGACTGCAGTCTTCAAGTCATTCCACAGATTTTCAATGGGGTTTAAGTCTGGGCTCTGACTAGGCCATGCAAGGACATTCACCTTTTTCTCCTTCAACCACTGTGTGGTCAGTTCTGCTGTGTGCTTTGGGTCATTGTCATGTTGGAAGGTAAACCTTCTTCCCATTGACAACTTTCTGGCAGAGGGCAGCAGATTTTCCTCAAGATTTTGATTTTCCCATCCATTTTTCCTTCCATCCTGACAAGTGCTCCAGTCCCTGCTCCAGTCCCCTCTACAAAATAGTGGATTACTCAGTAAATATATATCCATGACTTTTAATATGTTGCCTTTCATCACTATACATGTTTATCTTTTTTCAGAAAAAATATAAACAAAATCAATAATCTGAACCGGGGACCTTTGGTTGAGTTGACACGGAATAACAAAAAAATTGTATGCACAGCTTGTGTAGTTTTGTGCAGGTTATTTATGATTACTTTGATAAGCATGATTAACTAACTGCAGTCAAAACATTATATATTCTTAATAATGACATAAAAAATTTACAATTATTAAAATAATTTGAGAAAGGAGATTTGACTGATACAGAACCGTTTAAGTGATTCTAGAACAGTTTTTGTGTAATAAGTTTATTTCTGCACTTTCTTTACTTCTTTCTATGCGATCAGCCTTAAAATGTACACTCTTCAAATTTCAATACATTTTTCATTCAAAAATTATAAGGGAAATCATATTGTATTCTTACTTTAACAAGCTTTGTAAAAATGTTTAATGCCAAAATCTTTTTTTTCTGTTTTTTTTTTCTGCTGCAAACGCATACTGACATTTTCGCTTGGCCTAAAAGAAAATCAAACACATGACTTGATTAACAAAAAATAACCTCACACAGTAAATATTTGAATATATGAACATAAACAGCAAAATGCACCTCTTGTATTTCAGTGAAAAATTATTTCTCTCTGATCGCAAAAAAGGACAGCTGTCTTGTACTGAAAGATTTAAACCTAAAATGACAGCATTGACTGCAATCATGTAATATACTACAATACACAGCAAACCCTACAAATTAGAAATCAAACTTTTTTGTGGTACAAAAGAAATTAAACCAAAGTTTTTAGACCAAAACATCTGTATAACAGGTCTGAATATAGGTGTGATCTGTCCAAACACCTCCTTCCTGCAGCCTATGATTTTATAATCAGCACATAAATCTACAGGTGGCCGGCCTACAGACTGTCCCTTCAGAGGACTTTCTTTCACTATCTGAGCCTGATAACTCAAGTTTGAGGGGGTCTGGTCCGTACTTGAAAGGAAGTCAAAACAAAGGCTGTGAATCTTTAAAGTAGATATTTTTATATATATTTATTTTAGGCTTGTTTTAATAGGGGTATAAGTTACAAAGCAATAAGTTACAAATTTAGTCATTCAGTGCACAGCATAAATGAGTACACTCTGAATAATTACAAAAAACTTATTTTCTTAATGATCACTAATACAATTCATTTAAAGATGGCAAAATTGAAATGTATTAAACATTAATTTAACATAATTTTAAGTATAGTGCTCTGACCCTTCTTGGCACTCAGTGTACAAGTTCATGACAAATTGTCACATCTGTCCTGTTTAACTCCTGGAGGACGACCTGACCTCCTTAAATGCCCTGGTCAACTCGTCTCCACAGAATCCCCCACAGGTGCTCAAGAGTGTTAAGACTGGGTTAAATACATGTCCACTGAAGGATTTTCACCTTGGGAGAATGTATATAGTCATTGTCATGTTGAAAAAATGCTCAATAACGCAGGGAGTGAGGACAGGGTAGCATCTTCTGTTTCAAGTTTTTGTATTACCTCACACAGCATCTGTCCTGTTTAACTCCTGGAGGACGACCTGACCTCCTTAAATGCCCTGGTCAACTCGTCTCCACAGAATCCCCCACAGGTGCTCAAGAGTGTTAAGACTGGGTGAAATACATGTCCACTGAAGGATTTTCACCTTGGGAGAATGTATATAGTCATTGTCATGTTGAAAAAAATGCTCAATAACGCAGGAAATGAGGACAGTGTAGCATCTTCTGTTTCAAGTTTTTGTATTACCTCACACAGTGGTGTGTGAATTCATGACAGCATTGATAAAGCACAACTTCCTCACACCTTCAGCACTCATACATTCCTATATAAGAGCTTTACTACCATTGAACTTCACTGTGGGAACCAGGCACTTCTCACAGTACTCGTCCTCTGGCAACACCATAACATTTTGGATGCTTTTAGATCCGAAATGATTGACTTGGTCTCATGAGACCATATGGATTCACAGAAGTCTATACTTTGTAAATATGGACCTTGGAAAAGGTTAGTTGAGTTTATTGTGCTACAGTATGGGTAGTTCCAGTGTGGACAACAACCATGCATGTCACTTCAGCAGGCTGCATCTTACTCTGTGAGATAAACAGTCACTCTTTTCATAGCTTTTGCCGGCTCTGAGACACTTGTTTGGTATTTCTCCTGCTCTTTTTCTAGCAAAAAATATCACTCATCACTAAATTAAAGCTTAAAGTGAAGGCCTGATTATTTAAGGGGCCATGTCACAAGTCCATTGTTTTTGAATTTCTGTGTTACTTTTGCTATATTTTCACACTTAAAACAAAGATTTGGTATTCCTCTTGTACCACTGTCCTCTTTTGTGCTAAGAAGTCTCCGGACAATTAAATCCCAATCGGTTCCACTGTTGTCAGCATCAAGTCTGATAATGATTCAGTGGGTTATTTAACACTTTTCATTTTCAAGAAATTAAAGGGGTCATATGATGTTGCTAAAAAGAACATTATTTGGTGTATTTGGTGTAATGAAATGTGTTTATGCGGTTTAAGGTTCAAAAAACATTATTTTCCACATACTGTACATTATTGTTTCTCCTCTATGCCCCGCCTTTCTGAAACGCGTCGATTTTTACAAAGCTCATCGGTCTGAAAAGTGAGGTGTGCTCTGATTGGCCAGCTACCCAGTGCGTTGTGATTGGCCGAATACCTCAAGCGTGTGACGGAAATGTTATGCTCCTTACCATATTGTGATGCCGTGTCTCAGAGCGACGAGACAAAAACATTAAAACCCATTAGTTGTGTCCTCTTTTGGAAGGCCAAACAAAGTAGTTTCCCTCAACTTTTTTACCCCTAAAGGATTCATAATATAGTGTAGTAATAGTAAGGTAGTAATTCTTATGGTAGATACTATTATGAATCCTATAGGGGTAAAGGGGATAAAAAGGATTCTTTTTGAGGTTACTGCCCCAGTCTGTTTTTATTCACAATTTGTACAGTGTCCCAACTTTTTTGGAATCGGGTTTGTACATCCATGATGAATTTGATCTGGTCACTGTGGGTGTGCTGTCCAGAATTGAAGTCAGGTGAGAGTGGATTGCATCAATCTGCTCCTGATCTTCAATGTATACCGGCACAGGTGCTGACTTAGCAGAATGCTTGGGAAAAAGTGTTTTACTGAGGTGATTATGAAAACAATGACAAGGCATGATTGATTGATGCCTTATGACTATGCTGATGATTTATTGCATTTTTCATCTGTGCTGTGTTGCGTCAGTTATTTCCACTGGCAAGGAAGGGACTTCAAGAATGAAACAAACTAAGATGTTCAGAAACTAGTACACATACCTCTCTGTCTCAAACTGCTCACCAATCTGATCACAGGAATGTCAAGCTAACAGAAATGTTACAGGATCAGTATTCAGATCTTATTGGTAGAACTCAGTGACCAGCAATAAAGTACAACAACTTTATAGCAACCTTTTAATGAAGAAAACAGAAAAGCTAATCTGAGGGAAATTAAATGGAGTGTTCAGCACAGTGTAGAGGGCATACTCTCGACGTTATATGCCATAGGAACATGGCAATCGTTTCTTAGCTGTGGACCTAAAGATGGTCTCTGTGCTGGTCATCTCCAAAACCAGGCTTTGATTAATATACAGGGAGACTAGAAGAAGGATCTCTCTTCAGAGTGGCTTCAGTACCTATAGGGATGCATAAGCAATGGATATGGCCAGGGAGTATAAAAAAGTGTTATGACAATCCATTTCACATTTGCATTATCACAATCCCTCCAAACCACAAAGTTGAATAATTACTATATTCTTATGAGCTACACCATGTAAATCTTACACATAACAGATAATGATCTGGGCCGGTGGCTTGTGTTCATGCAGGGAACACAAGGGCATCCTTCATGAAAGCATTATCCTAAAAAACACAAATAACACCAGTAAAGAATACCTATTATTTTACTTCTGACTTATGGTAGATGTCAAATAGTATGATTTATGCATTCAATACTCACTGGAGAGTAGGCTAGAGGATTGTGGCAATAACATGCATGTTGGCAGTGTACATGTCTTTGCCCTGTGAGAGTAAAAGGAAAACTTAAGCAGACTACCACTTGCCATTCAAATATGAAATGAAGAAACTCTCTAAAAAGTCTCAAATAAACTACAGCTGATATAAAATAATGTGAAAAATGTTTTATACATGTGCTCAAACCTCTTCATAGACGAGTTTCATGCAGGCATTTCCCATCTACAAGAGAAACAATCAAAATAGCTAGCACACACACAAAAGTCTAAGCTCTTTAAACAAAGAAAACAAATAGCATGACGTTAAATGCTAATGTTACTACTTACATACCTGATCGTCAATAAGTACATTTATAGACATTTTTAGACTTTAATACGACTATAGACATTTATATCTATTAATATATTCAAATTAATTGACATCGACTAATAGATATAGAAACACTATAATTCATTTAGTCTTTAATTGGTTGTGTGTTCTTGTGAACACCTAAATACCCTGCAAAAATTAGTCCTTTTTCATTTATGTTGAGGCATAGATCACTACTTAAGGAGATATTTAAAGAAATTTCATAATTCTGAAAGATAGCAAGATACTAAGATACATGGTACTGTTGTGATATTGTACAATTTCCACTGATAATAAAAATTCTTTTGATATAATGTATGATGAAAGCATGCAAAATGCTTAAAATCATGTATCAAGATTAATGCAATTTTCATTTAAACCCAAAGATAACCGAAGAGGAGAATGTTATAATTCTACTGGTATTAAAGGAATATTTCACTAAAAAATTTGCTGAAAATGGACTCACCCTCAGTACAACCTAATGAGTTTGTTTCTTTATCTGAACAGGTTTGGAGAAATGTGCATTACATCACTTGCTCACCAGTGGATCCTCTGCTGTAAATGGGTGCCATCAGAATCCAAACAGCTGATAAAAACATCACAATAATCCACACGACTCTAGTCCATCGATTAATGTCTTGTGATGTTAAAAGCTGCATGTTTGTAAGAAACAAACTTTTAACTTTAAACCGTAACTTCTGCCAAAATACTAGTCCATAATCCATAATAACACTTGCAGTGAAAAAGTCCATCCTCTGTTGTCCTTCACATCAAAATCCATCGACATATTTGTTTAGAACTGTTTTCATTTGTGAAGGGTGGTTGATCTTCCTCTCCTGATTCAGATGAGACAACTTTTGTATTACTGGAGAAAGCAATATTATGAATAGAGGAACTGTATTTTAGTTGGTAGCAATGGTTTGAAGTTAAAATAGTCTTAATAATGGATTCATTTCTTACAAACACACAGCTTTTCACTTTACAAGACATTAATTGATGGACTGGAGTCGTGTGGATTACTTGTGCATTATTGTGATGTTTTCATCAGCTGTTTGGACCACTGATCTATAATATATAATTATGTAGATTTGGACTCTCATTCTGACGGCACCCATTCACTGCAGAGGATCCACTGATGAGCAAGTGATGTAATGCTAAATTTCTCCAAATTTGTTCCAATGAAGAAACAAGCTCATTGGATGGCCTGAGGGTAAATAAAATGTCTACTCGTTTAAATTTTTGGGTGAACTATTCCTTTAAGATGTGTAATTTTTTTTATAGATCTGAAGAGTTACAGCACAGCATTTGGGTTAATATAAATTTAAATTCCTAAGATGAAATTGTTCCTGCGGTGGAACAATACATTATTTTGACTTGCTGTCTAGGTCGGATCTATAGGCAGCTCAATAGGTTTTGAGAGACAGCTAAATAAAAAGTAACCATGGCACAAATCCTCATATTTTGTAAGACTGATTCGTAATGTCTTTTCCTCTGTGTTAGTCACTGCTTCCAGCATTTTCCGTAAACTGATGCTGTGCATAGACGTCAGGACAGATAGAGGGAGTGAGAAAGAGGACATTTTGTAAAGAGAGAGAGAGAGAGAGAGAGAGAGATCAGAGGAGGAGACACACAAATACCTATACAAGTGTCCAGTGTTGAAACGCAGGCCTTCTCGTTCATACTCAATATAACTTTCATTCTCGTCAGGGTTATTATCTGTCGGACAGCTGGGATTGTGTTGGTCCATTATAACGGCTTGTTTTGTTCGTTTCCTTTTCTGTCTCGTCGGATTTCTGGTGGATTTTCAGTGTCTGGCTAGCGAGCACAGCTAACCGCAGCTAGCCGGTTCAATCTGTTTCCTCGGCCTCAGGAGCACATTACACACACAAAATGGCATTAAAACGAATTCACAAGGTAAAATATTATATTTTATGTTATTTATTTTACATTCACTACCAAAACCATTTGGGTTTTTGCTTGGTATGTAAAAGATATAAACGTTAGCAAATGCTATGAGGATAAGCAGGCTTGGTTGTGAAGCTTGGCTGTTTTTGTTTTATAATAATAATATTTATTAATTTTGTTGTTGTTTTTGTTATTATTTATTTATTTTAATGTTGTTTGTTGTATTATTGTTTCCTTAAAATGCCAGTGCTGACATTGTTATTATCTCAGGAGCACATTACACACACAAAATGGCATTAAAACGAATTCACAAGGTAAAATATTATATTTTATGTTATTTATTTTACATTCACTACCAAAACCATTTGGGTTTTTGCTTGGTATGTAAAAGATATAAACGTTAGCAAATGCTATGAGGATAGCAGGCTTGGTTGTGAAGCTTGGCTGTTTTTGTTTTATAATAATATTTATTAATTTTGTTGTTGTTTTTGTTATTATTTATTTATTTTAATGTTGTTTGTTGTATTATTGTTTCCTTAAAATGCCAGTGCTGACATTGTTATTATCTATCTATCTATCTATCTATCTATCTACATGGTTATCTATCATCTATGTTTTTATCTATCTATCTACATGTAGCACCCATAATAGCAGGTGCTACATTGTAATACATAGTTTTACATCATTTCAATCTAAAATAACTATTTACAACATGTCTTATATTTAAAAAGTGGAAATACTGGAATCAGATTTTACAAGGTGGATAAGGAGGATTTTATGTGGATGTGTTTCCTCTATGAATCACATCTAGTTAAACAGAACCTTATGTGATTTCTGGTGGTGTGGATTCAGATGAATAATATTTCTGAATCATGTCAGCCATAGACATTACTGGTTGGAGAGGATTTGCCTTAACTGGTTTAGAGCTAACACTGGCTTCTTATTAGTTCTTATGGGTTACTATTTTTATCCTTTGTATTAGTGACATTCTTTCATTTTGGTAAATGCAAGAACTTTGCGTCATATCTGTAAGTTCTTCCTGGAAAGCTACGAGTGCTCAGTACTCCAGTTAGAAGTATCCGGCCCATACCAGTGTTAAATAGGCTAGTTGCGCAATAGTTGTTGAACTTGGCGACAGGATGATTTTTCCCTTTTCTGCTGACTTTGAGAGCTTCTATGAACTAGATTGACACAGCAGATTGTTTGTGGGCTGACAGCCAAATACTTAGTTGGTCCCACATTCTGTGGCTTGTTACTCCCATATCAAGTAGTTTTCAGGGCTTTGGCTTGTTTAATAGGGATATGTGAAGTATGGCAGAAACTGAAAATTGAGCTGAGAATTTTAGGACAGCAAATGCCAAGTGGGCGCACACAGATGTCTGGTTGAAAATACCAGCCATGTATCTCTCAAGTGATGGCAGGGCTGGTTTATTCCCGACACCCTCATCTGAAGTATGCAGGCGTAAAAATAGCTGCCACTGTTAGTGCTGATGTTCACACTGTCCTATATTGGTTAGCTGAATTGGTGTCATACATTGATTCTCGTGAAGGCTCACCTCCACCTGCGTCATCCATTCTGCTTTGATTAATTATGACAGAGAATGAAATTAACTGTACTTCTTGAGACACTTGCAATTTGGTTGTTTGAGTGTTATTTGTTTATTGATTTGTCTGCAATATAACAATTAGCTGAAATATTATTTACGACTTAAGAATGGCCTTCCTTGATTTAACTTTCCAACCTTGTTGTTCTTCTCGTGTGGATTGTGACACTGTTTAGTTCCTAGTTTGGTTTGGTTAGTTCCTCATTAGTAACTCAGAGATCAATCTAAGCGAAACTCAGTTTTTCATACAGATTTTTCACTTTATACAGCTAAATTATGACATTTCTGTTGAGCTTGGCTAGAAGAATTCAGATTTAGTTTTTTTTTAACTAGAACGAGACCAATAATCATATGTATTTTTTACAGGTATTCATAGTTTATTTAATTGTTATATTAAAATAAATAATAAAGTGTTTAATGTTATTATTGTTGCAGTCTAATGTGTCAAAAAGAAGAAATACATTTAGTTCTTCATTTGGTTGTTGGAGGAAAATAATCAGTATTTATTTTATCAAAAAAATATTGATCTGTGGTTTAATTTTTAATAATCCCTCAGGTTCGAGCAACTGATGTTCTCATAAGTCAAGTCACCTTTATGTATCAAAATCAATGATGCAATCAAAATATGAGACAAATCCAAATTCTGATCCAAATCAGCTCTGACAAGACAGTAGTGTCATTAATCAGCTCAAGCCTGTTTAGTGTTGTTTCAGTTCAGTTCAATAACTGTGTGAAGTTCATCAATTATGAAACAAGGTTAATTTAGCTATAAGCAACTCTACATAAGACAATGTTGTTGTTTTTTTCAGCTCGAGTCAGTTCAGTTTTGATTCAGTTCAGTAACAGTATCGATGTTGCAAAATTTGTTAATCATGAAACTAATTCGATTCAGCTATTTAGAATCGAAATTTGCAGTGTCAAAAGGTTTTCTATTCAGAGATGTGCAGCCTGTCAACTAGGGCTGCACGATAAATCGCATGCGATATTTAACGCGCATCTTGTCAG